CCGAGGCAACATGGAAAATTGGACGATTTAACTAGTCGCGTTTAGCTTCGCGATTTTCCGTGCGAGATGATTACGTTACAACCGCGCGTTATGACTCCTCACATGGTTGTCGGACTCGCCCGGTTCGTCGTTGTCATGTGAAGAGTGGAAATTCAAAAGCTGAAGCGCCACTACTGCCGCGCTAAGGAAAAACGCCGTATGAACATTCGAGAGTTGTTAAGTTTCCCCGGATAAAACATGTATTTTTGACAAAATGTATGCATATTTTTCCTTGAAATTTTCAGATATTTTAGATTAATTTACGAGCGGAATAGTCTGAAAATTTGGAAGGAAAATATTTACAATTTCCCCAATAAATCCGTATTTTATCAGAGGAAATTTAACAACACCGTATGAGCCTTCAAAATTTGCCAAATTTCCTTCGATAAAAACCGAATTTACTGAGAAAATCGTGAATATTACTTTCCGAAATTTTCAGACAATTTTGTACGCATGTTAATCTAAAAAATGTGAAAATTTTAGGGGAAAATATGCATGAATTTTGTCAAAAATACAAATTTTAACGAGGAAAATTTGGCTACTCTCGAATGTTCATGCGACGTTCTTCCTTTGCGCGGCAGACTAGGTGTTGCTAAGGTTCTTCACTTTCCTCACAAAAGAACGTAACCACATTTCTAATTTCAATGTTGCCGAATTTTCTCTCGCAAATTGAATTTTTACTGGGAGAATTTTAAACACTAACTAAAAGTTTCACTGATTTTTTCTCTGTTCTCATGCTTAAATAAAAAAATAATTGGACAAAAATTGCCCAGGCACACTCTTGTAAAAAAGTTAATTTCGAAAAAATGAAATGAAGATATTCGAGTTGATTTTTAGTGAGAAACACCATGCACAATCTGAGCAACACCTGATGGCTCCTCTAAAGTTTTGAATTTCCACTCCTCAATTATGGTGCTATCCAATATCACATTTTGCGAAATTGGATTGCGCCAATATACGTTAAAAATGAGAGTTTCTCTGCTTGACAAAGTTTTTTGCGAAATCCCTTTCTGGAGCGAAAAAAAAATTAATCGATTATGCATGGGCTGGATGCTGAAGTACTTTCTTGATGAGTTGTATTATTTAGTCCGTCAAATCTTAAATTGTAACAAGAAAAGTCCCACTTTCTTTCTGCGATTCAGAGAAGCAAAGAAGATGTAAATATTGTAGATTTTTCATTTATCGAGCTTCAAGAGATTTTTTACGTGTAGTACTTTCTCTTTTTCTGTGAAAAATGTGTTTGTTTCAATTTTAGTTTTTACGTAGAGTTCGAAACTGCTCTGAATATTATACTTTTGCGAGTAAAGCCATGAAGTTAAAAAGAAAATCACTATAGTTGAAGGAACGACCATGGTAACGAGATGAAAATGGAAATATACTTGTTAACGAAATTTCCGGAAAGTCTCCGCCATAATTACAGTATAGGTAATTGAAATATGGAAATTTTGAGTCATATCTCATGCATATATTATAATTTAAGGGAAACTTCGTCTAGTTAAATGAAAAAGAGCGCTTATCTTTTTGAAAAGTATAACATCTTATAATTTCGTCAATTTAAAATATTGAACTCTATCTACTCTCAGTCTTGCTGCAAGGTCAGGTATGGCGTGCATAAAAGCAATTTACTTTAATTCGAAATCATGGTAATTTGAGAAGATAAAAATAATAAGAAATCAGTTATTGCATGTGGCAAAAAAAATAATAGTAATAATTCTGTGCTTGAAACCTACTGCAAATATAAGCACTTTAGGATGGATAATATCATTATAGAACATCATATTACTTATGACTGCCTATTTTAAATGGCTATCTGTCGTATATTTAAGTGTTTTAATAAATGCATTCTCTTATCAAATACTTCATTGAGCCTGTTCAGTCATTTTTCATTCGTTCATTTTTGAAAAGTACAAAGTGTACACACATATTTCAATGGAATTTTCCAAAATATTTTTGAACAATATTAATCCACGAAAAACAAGTTTAAAGTTGCGTATTCTAAGCTCTTTTTTAAACGCGCATCACCAAGAAAGTCAAGACGGTGTCCAAAGATATCCGCCCCGCTATGGGTAAACTTTCGTGAACGCGACTCCTCTGCCGCGATGTATGATCTTTGCGGTCCAGCATTGATAGTGGTTGCTTAGGTAATAAATCGTGGCAGAGACTTTGCGTTGTCAAAAGTGTACCCGTAGAGGGACGGATTTTTTTTTGACAGTATATTGGCTTTCTCAATTATGTGCGTGTAAATAGGAGCTCAAAATATAGAACTTTGCATGAACTTATTTCTCAGGGTAAATATTCTTTAAAAAATAGAGCAGAATTTCTGTGCACTACGTGCACTTTCTATTTTTCAAAAATTAAAGGTTTTTTTTGTTTTTTGTTTTTTGGTTTTTTTAAGATAAAGAGGAATTCTTAACGAAATGATAAAAAGTGAGTTGAGGAATTAACAACACACGTGTATTTTGATCAACTGAGGAACATGGCTCGAAGACATTGTCGACTTACAATAGTCTCACAATCCGGGGGAAGCATCTAGCTGTGGCAGGGTTCGACGGGAGGGCAGACTTCCTCGACGATGACGGCGGGCTTGGCTGGGGCTTCGTGCACCTGGGGATGTTCGTACTCGTCGACAACGACGGGCTTCTGGGTGTAGGCGTGGAGGACAGCACCCTGGGTGTGCTTGACGATGTAAGGCTGTCCGTAGTAGTGGAAGACAGAGGGAGCAGAGTGGTGTTCGATCACCTGGGGTTCACGGTGAACTCCGTAGGTGTATGGCACTGGGAGGTTGGACTTTACTACGACGGGCTTGATCTCAGGGACCGGAGCCGGGCAGGGAGCATGGTGACGGGCGATCGGGGCAGCAGACTCGTACTTGGCGACGGGGGCGGCGATGGCGGATTCGTATCTGGCGACGGGGGCGGCGTCACGGACTTGGTAGACTGGGTACTGAGATTGAGAGGAGATCTCGGGGGTGGCAGCGTACTGGATTCCGGATGATTCCAGAGACTTCAAGTCACCGGCGTAAGCGTAAGAAGGGTACTGCTGGTAGGATCCTCCGTAGTAAGACTGGCTGGTGGCCGGGATGTTGTAGTAAGGGTACTCGGCGGCGTGGGCAGCGGCCAAGAAGGCGACGACGGACAGAGCAGCGAACATGGTGGTAGATTCCTTGGATGATCAGGTGTGAATAGTAAATGTACTAATGATTGAATTGATAGGCGGCACGAGTATTTAAGCTCGACAAGTTGTCTACACCTGCTCTTTGTGGGTGGCGAAGAGCCGCTTTGAGTTTGTTTGTGATTTCAAAGTTCGTTTGCGTCAACCGCGCGGTCAGTCCCTTTTGTTCGTTGTTTTGTTTCCGCGGTTCTTCTAATCGCTTTGATTTTCCTCGATCATGGAAAGTTCAAAGTACGGGAGGAAAATTTGTGAAGTTGAGGGAAACACGGAGGCAGAAGAGCATCGACCCAGAAAAAGAGCTAGAAAGTTTCCTGTGGATACTTCGATCGGTTTTGGATGGAAAGATGAGAAAAAGAAATCGGAAATTTTATTTGGGTACAGCAGTACGTTACGTAGGGACAGTGGGACATGATCGTTCTCTACTCCAAGGGGACAGCAAATGTAAGATAAAGGTGAAGCATTTCTTAAAGGTGGTTTCTGTTCAAAGAAAACTTACCTAAAAAATAAGCCTTTTGGTTTGGTAAACGAGAAAGGCTTCAAAATCTCTCATTTCCTGAGAGTATAGTAATTTCTAATTTTTTCGTATTTCAGTGATACAAGAGACAGCACCTTTAATTAGTGGAGTTAAGAGAGAAACCAATCACACTATTTGGCCTGGAACGGCGACTTAGGGAGAAATGATGACGAGGACTTGAGATGAAAAGGAGAAGCCCTCGGCGCGGCAATGAGCATGTAATACATATTAGCGCCTACAAGACTGCACGAATACTTCACGCTTTGCATCAAACACAGTGCGGTTATTGTGGTCAGCGTGAAACGGATAGCGCCTGCAAGAATGCATGAATACTTCACGCATTGCGCCAAACACAGTGCGGTCAGCGTGAAACGCATAGCGCCCACAAGACTGTGTGAATACTTCACGCATTGCGCCAAACACAGCGCGGTCATTTCTTATGAATGGAAGGCCTTGTCCATTAGAGATAGGTTTACAAAACTTGACTTTCGCGCAAAATTCCGTGACCTTTTGCTAGTAGTGTTGACAGGGCTTTCCCAAAAGATGTGTTCAACACGAGTAAACGCGTCTGATGCACTCCTCCCCAGCTGGCACATTCACTTGATGGTTTTTATTGACGTTTCAAAACGAATGAGAAGAGGGCGGCAAAATACAGGCGGCCCACGGGCGGCAAGTAGGAAAATCCGGCCCTGAATGCTGCTGCAAAGGCTTTGTAAAAACAAACAAATTACCATTTGGTTGACACTCCGGTGCAATTATAAATGTATGTCCTAATATTTCACATTGGATTTGGTAACAATTTCTTGGATTTTGATAATGAGAAAGATGGTCGAGTTATCAATACTGAACCTGGGATACAGGATGTCCGCACTTTCAAAGTGGAAAAATACAGCCAACTCGGAAATCTACAGCTTAATCAATCTTCAATGTTTATTTCAGTTTTAATACATTGATAGCAAATCTTTAAAATTCCAGCAATTTTGCTCGTTTTTCAAGTTTTTTTGATCCCAGTGCTATTTCGACGGTCAAACTCCCAAACCACGCATCTCGGTTTGCGACTTTGCAGATCCCCTATCATATTTATTTTTTAGATGGAAAACTACTCAACATCAATTTCTAACAGCTTCCGTGATCTTCACCTCTGTAGGAAGAAAATTCTGTGAACTTCGAGGAATGATGTTGCTTTGTCCTTCTTCAAAAAAATAAAATGGGAACGGAGATGTTCAAACATTGTAAACGAGATACGTGTTTTGGGAGTTTCACCATCGATTTTCCCGGCGGAGCACCTACGGTCAAAATACATAAGTAAGCTAAGTATCAATGTCTAAAAATCCCTCTCCTCCAATTTCCTCAATAACTCGCATTGCAGTCTCTTTTTTTGATTGATAGTGCCTTTTTCGTGAGCGTTTACACATGAAAATGCTGGAAATCGCCACTCCTGAATTTTAAATCGGTACTTCGAATTTGTTTTTATTTTTTATTTAAATGTCTGAATCCAAGAAAATTGATGAGAGCACATGCAGTGAGTAATCCCTCAAATCCCGTGAACAACGTGTACATGTTCCACTGTGCACTGGAAAAAAAACACATTGGATCTAGAGTCCAAACTCTTGAAAACATTGAAAAGAAAAAGGACTCTTGATTCAATCAGATTTAAGCTTAAATCAAAAGGAAATCCACTCAAATTAAGAGGCCTCGTTCTTGATTTAAGCTCAAATCTGATCGAATCAAGAGTATTTTTTACTGTCGATGTTTTTAAGAGTCTCGACTCTAGATCCAATGTGGCTTTTTTCCAGTGTGATTTATTCCGCTGCTTATAAAAGCGCCTCGTAGATATAATGAGTTTAGAGAATAAAACTGCACAGCAGTCAGTACAAATCAGATTTGAGAATGATGTAAGTCCATTGCCGTCGGTCTTTAATCAACTTATTTCCATGGGATGACCTGATGCAGTTTTTATTTGAGGACAAAAACAAAGTCGTGAGTAAAATTCAACAGTATAACTATGGAAACAGGTCCTTGGAAAGGGACGTTTTATCGCAAAAAATATAAAATTTAAAAGCGTGAATATTGCAGGTTTCGAAATCTTTACGGTAAGTCCGCATCTACGGCCGTACATTTCGTCGCTCCTCTGGCGTAAAGGCGTATCTCGATTTCAACGTGAGCCTTCTTCTCCATATAACTCTATGCCTTTCAAGGCTCATATGGAAATAGAGAATCGCCCTTACGCCAGAGGAGCGACGATTTTGTCGAAATCCTGGATATTGGTGGACCCGGCAAATTGGCAACATTGTTTTTCTCCATTCAAACCTATGGAAGTGTATTGATTCTTGGAGGAGCCAGGTGCTCTGACAAGAATCGATTATTCAACATAGGTTTAAACGGAGGGAATCCCGTGTTGCCAAATTGCTGGATCCACCTCTGATCCTGGAATACTTTTCTTTTTTATTTTGTATTTTTGTGAAGCTAAGTCATTTTAATCCCCCACAAGGCTCTGTTTGCAGAGTTATACCGTTAATTTTTACTCGCGGTTCGTAATAATTGTCCTTTTCATGATGTTATGTTGTACGGACTTCCTCAGACCTTCCTCCATCACAATGTGAATTATCTAGGGCGTCCCTAAGAATAGGAACTGTTTACGGAACGACTACGAATACAGCCTTCAGCGACGATTCTTGAAAGTTGGCAACACTGATACTCGTCCATTTGAATGTATGTGGAACAATCGATTCTTAGCACGGCAGCTTGCCTCACCTAAAATCGATATTTTGAATGGCTTTAAATCGAAGCAAAACAATGTTGCCAACTTGCAAAATCGCCACCGACAGCCTATGAGAGAATGGTACTCATTAATGGAAATAGATCATGTTTGTATTGAAGTCTGGAATATACGGGAAAATAAATTTAATTCAAGTTTCAAATATGTCTTTGCCGTGTCAAGTCTGAAGTCGATTGTGACACTGAACCAGTTCCTCCATATTAAAGGCATTTTGAGTAAATTGAGTTTTTAATATTTATCGTGAATATTAATTTATTGTTTCTTTTGTTTATTTTAAGACTTTTTTTCTTTAAAAATCTCCTAGTTGGAAAGAAAAATATATGCGCTCGTGAGTTGAACAAAACCTCTGCTCCGATTGAACAAGATTAAAATTGTGGAAAAATTTCTTGTTTCTTTTTTTTAAACAAAAATTAAAAGCTGTAAAAAAAACCAATACTCATAACCTAATTCATTCAAAATTGTTTCCCTCATTAAATATTGCAATATTTTCACAAGCTAGTAATCTTGCATCCGGAAAATGTCTCTGTTCCATTAGGTAATTCCTTCCAGATTGGTCAAGTGAGCAAAGAACATCGAAAAAAGAGTGCATTTCATTTGAAATTTGACTTCATCCCACAAATCAGAAAAAATAAAAGAAATATTAAAGTTTAAACTGATGCAAAAACTCTAGGCAACTACAGGAACTGTCCAATTTTATTCAGTTGATGAATGATATGGTAAATAATTAATCGAATAAATGCCATTATTTGTAGTCAATGTGATTTTTGGTCCACTCAAGACTTGAAGTTTTAAACGATGAAATATAAAAGTTCTAAGCTCACAAATGTTGAATTTAAATGACTGTCTTTAAATTAATCATTGAGAGCTTGCAATTTTTATTGTTTTTGGTTTTTTGTCGTCATTACACTATCTGAGATTTCTAACTGTGATACTTTTAATACTTGAGTATGAGCATTGCTAGATCCCACAAATACCTATTTCATTTCCTCAAGATGAAATTAAAAATTTTAAAATCAGAAATAATAGGAATTTCATACTTCACGACTTTCTTTGGTATCCTCGAGAGAAACTGTACTTTTTCCTTTAGCTAATAGCTCAATGGGGGGAAAAAACTGTCTAGAATTCCACAATAGGTTGCACTTAGGATTATTAGTTCTAAAATACCTAAAGTAGCAATTACTCTCTTCATATACCTATCAATGATCATAATTTTTGAAGATCCTAAAAAACAAGACCTCTCGAGAATTTGCTAAAGTGGAAAATTTGAAATTCAAAAAATACTGCTAAAATCTTTTTTGCAAAAGACTATAGTCGTACTAAAAAAGAGAAAGAAACTATGTTAGCTGAAGAAACGTTTTTGCTACGTAAGAAATATGTTTCAACTATCGAGTCTGTACTTTAAGCGTGTTTTTGAGTTTTTGTGTTAAGTTAGCATTGATTGAATTATCAGTTTTTGTTATCATGAATTTAGCAATAATAGTAAGAAAATTGCGAAGGAGATTTTTTTTAAATTCATTTTTTTCAAGAAGGAGAAAATATCTATCGCTTTCAAGGTTAATAATGCAATGCGAAGAGAGAACTTCCGATTACTATTCAAATGTTGCCAATTTCTTTTAGAACAAAATGTATTTTTTTTAAAAGGAAACTTAGGAATATTTTTCTTTGAAATTTTCCAGACCCACTAAATAAAAATTGCAAATGAAATTATCCGAAAAATTCAAACAAAAAGTTCCTAAGTTTTCTAGAAAACTCACATTTTATTAAAAGAAATTAAAAAGCATCAGCATGTGGATTATGGCGTTTTCCCTTAGCATTGCAGTGACTTATCATGTCTTAAATCATTAAGATCGATGGTAATTACCATTGACTCTTGCTTTAAAAGGGAGAGTATATCAGGAAAATGAGAAAAGTAGGAATTAAGTAATTAACAACACACGTGTATTTTGATCAACTGAGGAACATGGGAGAAAACAAAACAACTATCTTTGGTGACTTACAAATGCGATGATGTTGCAACACTTAGTGGTGGTAGCTTTCGACGGGAGGGCAGACCTCTTCGACGATGACGGCTTGCTTGGCGGGCTCTTCGTGCACCTGGGGGTGTTCGTACTCGTCGACAACGACGGGCTTCTGGGTGTAGGCGTGGAGGACAGCGCTCTGGGTGTGCTTGACTACGTAGGGTTGTCCGTAGTAGTGGAAGACAGAGGGAGCAGAGTGGTGCTCCAAGACCTGGGGCTCACGGTGAACTCCGTAGGTGTATGGCACTGGGAGGTTGGACTTGACTACGACGGGCTTGATCTCAGGGACCGGAGCCGGGCAGGGAGCATGGTGGGAGCGGGCGATGGGGGCGTCGTAGGAGCGGGCGATGGGGGCGTCGTAGGAGCGGGCCTGGTAGACCGGAGCGGAGTACTGTTGGACCTCAGCGTACCGGGGGGCAGAAGCTTCAGCGACGGCGTACCGGGGGGCAGCAGATTCGACGGCAGCGTACCTGGGGGCGGCGATCTCTTGGGTGGCGAATTTGGGGGCAGCAACTGGGGATGGCAGGGGAGCGGCAGCGGGTGCTGGGGCGGCTTCCTCAGCGGCACGGTAGTAGGAAGGAGCGGAGTACTGCTGGGGGTACTGCTGGTAAGAGTACGGGCTGGCGGCCTGCTGGCTGTAGTAGGGGTATTCGGCAGCCTGGGCGGTGGCCAGAACGGCGAGGACGGAGAAGACAGCGAAAGCCATGGTGCAGGATTCCTCAGGTGATCAGGTACGAGTAGTCCACTGGCAGAACTTGAAGTGAATTGCTCTTTTGAGGGCTAAACTATTTAAAGCTTACGGGGGACAGCCTAGACTTTCCGGCGAAAAGTTAGACAGTATGTTTAGATTTCCGAATTTTGCTGGCGTTGGTCCTATTCGGCGTGGATTGTTCTTTTCCGCCTGTTGTTTAGTGTTGGCGGAATCGTCAGCAAATAGCTGAGTTTTTCCTGTAACACCGAGAATTCAAAGTGCAAGTCAACGCGAATGACACGCATAGGTAGATGACCGACAACCGGAAAGGATGATTCCTGCAAAGCTTAGCATCGATCTTACTGCATTGAGAGGTGCGGTTTGTGACGCTTAATGAAATTGCACGGTTATCATTTTTTCATTGATGCCTCGTTTTCATTCTTTATAATAGAATTGAAAAATCGAGGAATAAATCATTCATGTTCGCCACAGAATAAGCATTGTGTTCTACACATTAAAGTCAATTTTCTTTACAGTAAGATGGTATGCTCGCTCTTTAAGAGTTCTTTAACGAGTTGAGACTGACCTAAAGCCTACAGCGAAGTAGACAGAAAGCGATCGATTTTTTTTTTTGGTAAATGTAAAAATGTAGGTACCTTGTAAAATGATGCAGTCCTCATATAATATGCTCGCTTCGTTGTTATTAGCGGTCTAGCCGCGTTCATTTTCAAACGGATGAAAACCTTACTAAGAGAAATGAATAGGTGAACGAGTATTTAGTGAGTAAATCGAAAACGTTGGAGAACGATACCGCTACTGTAGGCTTATACTGTGAAATGGCTGAATATTTTCAGAACTTTTTTTTGGAAGGGAACATCTCTATCCCCATTTTCAAATTTGACGTGTTTCTGCTAAAACGAACAATGTGAAAATTAATTAAATAAAAAAGAAATACGATGCATGCAAAACCTTTATTCGCAGTTTCTTTTGATTCAATCAATTTTCATATGGTTCTTTTTAGCATAAATTGTCCAATTATAAGTCATAAAGTGTATAGGATATAGTCATTGAGTGTTGTGTGCTAGCGTGTCTCAAACCTCATCAACAAATGAACACGCTCCCTTTTAAAATTATGAGTTCATTTGAGGACACAATCTTACCCAAATAATGTAGGAGGGGAAGCTGTATGATGCGTGCTGACACAAATCGTCGTTCCTCTGACGTAATTGCGTGACTCAATTTCCGCGTGAGTCCTGTTCTCCATGTAACTACATGCTTTTCAGAGCTCACGTGGAATAAGAGGTACACCCTTACGTCAGAGGAGCAACGAAATAACCCTGAACTGGGCTTTAGTACTTACTTGGCCTCAGGCAAAGGTTAAATGGGGCTGGGTGTAAAAGGGCCCGGGGCTTGGAGGGGAGGGAGGGGCGTTCTTTTCACGTGGGATTCGCCATGAGGGCTATTCCGAAATTGGTTTTAAAAAAAAAACCTTCCTGAAACTTTGCAATTTGGACCTACTCATCATTTTTAATCAATCTTAGGAAATTGCATCGATATGCATCAGATTTTTATACTGACACAAGAGTATAAAATTACTAGGGGGCTACGCCCCCTGGCCGCTACGCGGCCCAACCCCCTGAAGGCGCTCCGCAGTTCGTTTGAGCGTTCTACCGGGCCGATTTCCATGATTTTTGCGTAAATCGAGAGGTAATAGGCCCTAGATGAGCCCGCTGTAATCAGATTTTGGAAAAAGGACCCAGGATTTTTTAAAATCACGTTATAAAAGTGAGTGAGTTCACAGAATGCTCCGGTACTGCTACATGACAAAAAGTATAAATTTACATTGTTTAAATGGGAGAATTCGCAACTTTACCACGTAATATAAAAAAACCTGGGCCATATTTTGAAAATCTGAAAAGAGTTGGCTTATCTAGAGACAATTGCCCGTCGATAGCCGCAAAAATCATGAAAATCGGCCCGGTAGAACGCTGGAACTAAGCGTTACCAGTTTCGCAAAATTAGGAGGTCTTGGAGCTTATAGTATAGATGAAGACAATTTTTGCCAGAAATAGCACACAATTCAGGGATTCAGGGGTGACTTTGTTTTTCCTCCATTTAAATTCATTTAAAACAAACGAGTCCTGAGGAGGTAATTTGCTGCGTTGCCAACTTGCGGTAATCGCCACTGACTTACACCGAGAAAAAAGTTCGGTTCACGTAGCACGACGAAGTTTCCAGTACGGGCAACTAAAGTTCTTGGTCGGAGAAAGTACATTATGGTTCAGATAAGCAAAGTTATGATTGCTTACTGGAGTGATCGGTCACCCGAACTCTCGAACACAAGTTCAGTCTCTGGGGCCATGAATCGAGCTTGATTATCGAAACCGAAAAATTTCGTGTGCTATATTATTTGCAGATGTTTGGTCGTCATAATCGAATACAAAATCTGCGTGTAAAGAATTTTTTTCTGTTTTTCCCCCATCGCAGTTAATTCACTGAAATTAACATTATAAGAATCTGCGCAGAAGCGCCAAAACTAAAATACGAAAGGAATTTGCATTCGTCTTTGAAGTACAATTAATTGGACTGCATTTTGCGATTTGGTGCTATAAATTCCGGCTCATCTGAAAAGAAACGTATGGTCATAGGGAAACTAATGGCATATACGTTGTTTTTAAACCGGGCCGGAATGTATAGCTCCCAATTGCAAAATATAGTCCAATTGTCAGTGTTTTTTTACAAGACGGCTTTAGCTACAATACCAATTTTACGATTAAAATAGTAACCTTAAAAATGTAAATTATTCATTGCATTAACTCACACTTGAATCGCACTTAGCAGAAAAGAACCAATCCACATCAGCTGTTGCCAAATTAAGTAGGCAATTTGATTTTCTACAAGAGAACTTTAATGCGGATTCATTTGAAAATTATAGGGAATATGCTTCGAACTGTGCAGGAAATTCACTTCAATCTGCACAAAAATTCTCACAACTGATTTCATGTAAAAACTTAAATTGCCCGATTAAATTCGGCAATAGCTGATGTGGCTTGGTTCCTAACTGCTTAAAGCGGTCATAAAAATGTACTATGTATGATTGTATGAGATCATTTTCAAACGCAAAGCCTTTCATTTCATTTTCCAGTTATGTGAGATGCCTGTTTCATCTGTAATAAACTTGGTTCAGAAAATACTTCTCAGTATTTCTAGTGCGCTCTAAGCAGGGTTTCTCCTCTCAAAATTATGAATTTAAGTGAGCTGTAAAAATTTTAGTAGACTAATTTGAATCTGCCATGATTCTCTCGATAATTTTACAATTATACTGTAGCACATACTAAAATATTTGCTGGTTCATCGAAACTTAAAATTCGAACCGGAGCTACAAATAGAATCGAAAGAAGGAGTCGATCACCATCAAATTTCTATTACAGCATTGCTCCTCAAAACTCTATAGGACAGATGTCAATATGGTGAACAACTTTTTCTCTCAATTCGCTTACTATCCGGAATCATTTTTTTGGTAAAAAGAGGAGAAACCAAGCTTTTAATGTTTGTCTTTGAAGTGCCCCTGACTAAACTGATCACTGCGTCACGCAATAAGGAGTTATATTTAACTCATCTTTAAAGGCAACTATCTGCATAGAAAAACTAATAGCACATTCGCTGTTTATAAAATGAGCCGAAAGTAGCAGTTCTTGAACAGAGGATCAAGTTCTTGTCACATACGCCGCGCGACAAGAATTCTCATTGAATCAAACAGAAATCTCTTTAAAGCGTTGAAACAAGTAGATTTCCTGTTGTCTCAATGAGAAATTCTTGTCGCAAATATTTCACTGGAAAATACGTAAAAATTAAACAGTTGTGCAGACTATATAGTATTTGTAAATATTTATCATGCATTTTCCTCAGTGTTTTTGAGTGATAAAAGTCCATATTTAACGAAAAGAAATCAAAAGTTTTGGGAGGCAAGGAGTCTTCTCATTGCTTGTTTCGCAGAATTTCCTTTGTGTATCGAATTGCGTTTAACTCTCCTTTCATGCATCAAGTTTGACATGTAGCCGAACACAAAGGGATCTACTAATCACTTGGTTCCTCTCCATATTTTAATCTAGTTAATTTTTCAATCAGTAGGAAGGAACCAGTTCACGGACCATTCAAAATGTATAGTCATTTCTAGGTACACTAAATTCAGTTTTCTTGTTACAAAATTTGATAAAAATTCTTTTGTAAATTATTCAAATGAAAATTTTGATAACAAGAGTATTCCTCATGGGAATAAAAATGGAATTTTTCAAACGCTTTTTGACAAGCAAACCTCTTCTCATTTGACAATTATGTTTCGATTCCTTCCCGCTCATTGTTGCCGAAGTGGTCGTTCATACATGGTGTTCTTTTAAAAAATGTATTTTAAGTTAAACCAAAATCCGTCATTTCACAAAAAAATGAATTAATACCACAGAATATGCATCAGAAAAATACTCTAGGTATCTGGTAGTTGATTTCTACGTAATTTGAATACTGAGTCCGGAAAATCAAATTATCCTCAGAAAATCTCATTTTCGGAGATAGAAAGATTCAGGTGATTTTTAGGCTCAGCGCTGAAAATTCTATTGCAATCACATACCAAACACTTAGTGTTAAAAAGAAAAAAACCGTGTGTTTTAATAAATGCTGTAAAAGTTATGTTTACTGTTTCATTTAAATTATCTTGACCACATTATCTCAATATGACTATCACCAAGTCAATGAAGCTTTAATTATGCAGTGTAATAAAATTAGAAGAAAGGAACTATTACCTTCATTTTGCGAATAAATTGATTTTAGTCCCATCGTCGTAAAATTACTACTTTTGAGCTTTTCAATTTAACTTGTGTTCAGTTGCTTTATACAATTTTTTGTTTGATCATTTTGAACCTTACACCTAATAACTTATTTTTTGCATTTTCAATTTTCTAAAACTGTTGAAAATTATAGGATGGCCAATTCCGAAATTCCCTATGATCAATGAAAAAAAAATAATCAAGTCAGGAAATCAAAAGTTGTCATCGAATTTTCATCGTGCTTCTACTTGCATTACCAAAAATTAACTATAATAGAGAATAATTAGGGTAATTTTGGATATTTTGGGATAACTTTAGGTTGTAATTTTGTGTAAGTACCGTTTAATAAAATGAACTATAGGTCGTAGGAATCTGAGATCTCAGCAAAATTAAATCCAAGAGATTTTTGCGAAGCAACAATATAATTAATAAATATAAGATATTTTTTAACCAAACTTAAGACGTTGGTTCAAATTTAAATGGAATTTTAATGACTTCTTGCAGCCAATGGACTCTATAGAATGGAATCATCCTCAGATGTATAATCCTGTACACTTCATACAACTAGTTAAAACTCCAATATTTGTTCAATTAGTGCAAAAAATATACCTCTGAGCATGATTTCAGATGATGAAATGAAAAAGATCACTGATTAGCAATTTTAATGAAATCCAACATTTAAATAAGTGATCGTGGCCAACACTCTAGCTGAACCACAAAATATCAGGACTAAAATGACGGGTTTTCGTAAATATGATTATTAATAGTAGGCGTTTCGAAAATTAAACCCAGAGCTCCATGTAATACTCGAATAATATAGAGTTAGAAGTGTAAGGATAAAGTTTTAGAATATTTTTATTTTCAATTGTGGCATCAAATATTCTAATTTATCAGTCTTAGCCATGGCTATGAATAAGTACGTAATTACAGACGATAAATTAATCGTTGTCATGCGAAATAACGTAGAAAAGTCTCGTAGAAAATCAGTTTTTGTCAGATGTACAGGTCAGAGAGCGTTACCTAACTTTTCTCTGTCTCACCCCTGTTGCTTTAGGGCTGAGACGCAAATTGGAGCATGTTTAGGGAGAAATAAAGATTAGATAAGGTTCCTCTTGTGTCTCTGACAAAAAAATCTTTTTCAATAACTTCACTATTATGATTCCTTAAAATCAAGTTATTAATATAAATAAGTAGTATTATCATTACAATATTAGTGAGCGTTCAAATGGAGGAATGAAGTGCTGAAATTTTAAAATCTTGCTTCCAGACTGGGAAAAACTCAAAAAGTTAGTGATTTTACACGGGAAAAATTAATTGCTGCTTTAACAATTTTGCAGTTAAAAAAAGTGTTAGACATATTTCAATGTAGATTCTACAATAAAAAATGCTAATTTAACCACCCTTGTGGTTAAATTAGCCTCTCGCTATAGTAAAGCGTACATTTGAAACACGTCGGACATATTTTTAACAATTTTACTGTCAAATCAGCAATTCGCTTTTCCTTGTATTAATTGATACGATATCAGCCATCCCATACTTTTAAAGAAGAATATTATTTTTGCTCTAGGAGCACTATGGAAAATTAGGAATTTCTGGATGAAATGAAAAAAGAAACGGGTATTAAGTAATTAACAACACACGTATATTCTGATCAACTGAGGAACATGGGAGAAAACAAAACAACAGTCTTTGGCGACTTACAGTTAATTACTTAGTGGTGGTAGTGTTCGACGGGAGGGCAGACCTCTTCGACGTAGACGGCGGGCTTGGCGGGCTCTTCGTGCACCTGGGGATGTTCGTACTCGTCGACAACGACGGGCTTCTGGGTGTAGGCGTGGAGGACAGCGCTCTGGGTGTGCTTGACTACGTAGGGTTGTCCGTAGTAGTGGAAGACAGAGGGAGCAGAGTGGTGTTCCAAGACCTGGGGTTGACGGTGAACTCCGTAGGTGTATGGCACTGGGAGGTTGGACTTGACTACGATGGGCTTGATCTCAGGGACCGGAGCCGGGCAGGGAGCGTGGTGGCGGGCGATCGGGGCAGCAGACTCGTACTTGGCGACGGGGGTGGCGTCGTAGGTGCGGGTGTTGTACTGGGCGGGGGCGGAGTACTCGGCGGCGGCGGTGTAGGCAGGGGCGGCGTACTGGGCAACAGGGGCGGCTTCCTGGTAGGACTTGTACTCAGAGGGGTAGGCGGGTGCGGAGTACTGCTGGGGGTACTGTTGGTAGGAGTCCAAGTAGGCTGGGCTGCTGGCAGCTTGGCCGTAGTACGGGTACTCGGCGGGGTAGGCGTAGGCCGTGGCCATGACGGCGAAGACAGACAGAGCGGCGAAGACCATGGTGAAGATTCCTCAGATGATCAGGTGTGAAAGACGCAGTGGCAGAAGTTCGACTGATGCCGATGATTTCTGGTTGTAGTATTTAAGCTTGAAGAGAGGCGATGGTGTCCCAATTTTGTTTGATGATGAAAAGCCGGTGTCAGCGCGCTTGCGCACGAGCCGCTCGTTTACATTCGGATGTTTTGTTTTGAGCAACGCCGCGCCGGTAAATTTTCCGTCTTTCCCGAAACACGTTTTACTGTTTCAAAGCTGCCGAGAGACAATGGAACTGCCGTGGACGTCAAAAGATCGACGGCCGGCTCAAAATTTTACCGAACTTATGATTCTCGACGATGCATATTTTACAAAAGTAGTCGGGTTTGCTTTTACTCACATTTTTCGGCTCCGAAACTGGGGCCTAAACATGGAGTGAAAAATCACGAAAAATTCGCATTTTTTGGCATCCCACCTCAGATTTTGACCTGTGCCCAAAGGTGATCTGTCATGAGCTTCAAATATGTTGTGAAGGACACTTTAGAGACGTAACATACAAGAATATGGCCTCCTGTCACCTTTGGGCATAAGTTCAAAATCGAACATTTCCAACTCTTTTAACTTTTATTCTGAAGTTAGAAAAGTTCGATATTGAACTTGGGTCAAAAGGTGACAGGTCGCCATATTCTTGTATGTTACGTCTCTAAAGTGTCCTTCACAACATATTTGAAGCTCATGACCTCAACTTTGGTCTAAATCTGGGGTAGAACCGCAAAACACATGCCTTTTCAGCTATATTTTGGGCTGATAAGTTTGAAAAGTTCGATTTTGAACTTGAGGCCAGAGGTGACAGTTGCCGGAACCATGTCTAGCTCCCAATTTCGGAGTCGAGAAATGTGAGTATCGGCAAAACCCGATTATTTCTTAAAATATGCATCGTCAACTGCCAAATATCCAAAAATGTCCCGATTCCGTGGAGGGGCCGATTTGGGCCCAAATCGCAACCCCTCCTTATGCAGGACTTAGCAGGAAGGCTTCAGATGGATGCGAAAACATTTAAGTGTTGACTAGAATTTCTTATTCGTTCGAAAATTACAAGGGTCAACTCTTTTCATTAATACTTTTTTTCAAAATTAAAGACGGGAGTGATGCGAAACATGGCAAATTTCACGCAAAACTTGGAAGGAAAGTTTTAGTTGCATACTTGCATTAGTGCTTACCTTTAACTTATCACTAAAATGAAAGTTCAATAATACATCCATGATTCCAATTATTGACTCCAATTTTTCTTCTGTTTCAGGTGAGTATCCAGACTCAGCACTCTCATGAACATGATCTCGCGTCTGATGTACTCAGTTTTACGGTAACGTCCTGTCACACAGTGGAGCGAGTCAATTAGAGGGGTTGGACATGAAATTTTTTATACTCAAACTGAAAATTTGTATGTTTATTTCGTCACATTTTAAATTAAAGGGGGAACTTTAAGAACATTTTACGAGGAAACCAATGTAACCAACCACTTTTAAAACCTCAAACTTTTGTATGAACGAAGTTATACACTTTTAAAGTTTCCAAATTTTATCCGACCTCCCCTATCGACTCGACCCTTGTGTGTCGTCACGACACAGTCCTGTACTCACCTTCACCTCTTAGAAGAACCAAAGCAACAGTAATGGTTCTTGGTTTAAGCATAGTATACTCTGGCGGCACAATGATCTGCGTCTACACCCCCCCCCCCAAACACCACCCCCCCACCCCGACCCCGATAGTTGACGCGGACAACGCATCACCCTAATACCGACATTAGGTTAATGCAGGTGCCCATAGCGAAATTAATCGCGGGAAACTGGCGTATTATCAGGTCCCAGATCGCTGGATCCCGCTCGCGAAATGATGAACGCGGCGTTTTATTGAAATTGCACAATGGCAAGACACCCCCGCCCCAGCGTGACCCGGAGCAGCTTTGCCGAATCGAACGGTAACTCGGGTGTCGGGAGGCCCGAAGGGCGTAGATTTGGGGGCGTTGGGCGCCGACGCCCATTTGTCTGCGAGGCCGAGCCCGGCAACAGTCTCCGTTGGGCCTAAATGGATTCATGAAGCAGCCCCGTGTAGTTTGATATATCGGCCGCGGCCGCTCGTATTTCGGCCCGGCTTCCGATTTAAAATGACTCGTGTGCATAATTAGGCGCCTCCGGTCGGCCCTAATTAGCAGGTGGGGAGCAGCGGAAGAGCCGCCGTTGTGATCTATTTGCCTTTGTATCGCTTCCATCGGGGGCTCCCTCTCGATTTATGCCTTTTTAATGGCCACTTGAGTACGAAGCCCCCGATAGCGGGTCCCAGCTCGGCTTGAGTTGGGAGTCTTCAGATTTGATCGCTGGCTCGGTGGCTCAGCGCGCGTGTCCACCTTTGCCGTTCCCGCAACGACGCGCGACGTGACGGGACTAGCTCGCAATAAGCCATAATACGAGAGAAATATACTAGAAAATGAGTTTAGCCAGGCTCGAAACAGAAAAAATGTCTATTAGGACGTTAGACTGCCGTGCTGAGGAAAAACGCTGTATGAACATTCGAGAGTTGCCAAATTTCCCTCGATAAAACATGTATTTTTGACGATATTTATGCATATTTTTCTTCGGCATTTTCAGATATTTTAGATAAAATTGCGCGCAAAATAATCTGGAAATTTCGGGGGAAAAATATTCACAAGTTTCAGAGTATATTTGGTTTTTATCGAGGGAGACTTGGCAACGTCTGAAAGCTCATGCGGCGTTCTTCCTTAGCACGGCAGTAGAGATCGATAATATATGAGGGGCTTGGAGAGCAAGGCGCATAAGTGCAGTTTTTGATATTTCAAGAAATACATGTTTGAAGTTTCGAAATTACATGGATCCTTGTGGCGGAAAGAAAGGTCCAATCGACTTTTTGATGCTTGAAAATTGGAGTGTGGGAACAAATTTTTCACAGAATACGATTTAAGACTAGTTTTGCTTGAAATTAATAAATAAATTGTTTTCCAAAACTGAATGTATACGCCTTGTCTTCCGAGCCCCTCAATTCAAGAGAAATACATTAAAAAATAAGGTTTTTCAGACTCAAAACCACTATCAGGACGTTTGTGCTTGAGTATATTTATGCACTGAGAAAAAAATTACGGGCTTAATGGACATACCGTTTGTTCCGGGTGCCACACCCGGATCTTTTGGTCTCTGAGCCCGGAACGCGGACGGTAATGTCTATACGGCCCGAAAGTACGGAGTCTTGTGTATTTCTGTGTAGGTGGAAACTCTGCAAATGTCATCAGTCATCTTCAGGTTTGCTAAACATTGGTAGGTATCATCAAAAGTTAGTACGAGGCACCGATTTCAGGGGAACCTGGGTAGAAAGTGTCAGATTTTGATAAGGTTTTTTTTTTGCTGGAGGTCAAACGCACCGATAAACCTTACCATCTGTATTGCGTTCGTTTTTAAGATTTACTGTTCATACATTCAGCCCGTGTTTCGCACAAAAAATGTGGCATGGAAAATAGTAATGTGAAAATCTAATAATTCGTACTGCAATTTGAAAAACTTGGCAAAAATTAAAATTTTCGTCTAAACTGGCACTTTGTCGCGTTACCATATCGCGCTCTGTTCGGTGCATGCTGCAGGCTCGGTTGTAAAATTACCATTAGTGATTAATGACGCGCATAATTTTATTAAAAGCAGATATTAATAGAATTCGCAATCGTAGAGCCAGTAATTTGTGTCATAGTAATTGGATATTGTTTATTTATCGCTTCAATTGTTCTCCCACCTGCTTTGCAGCAAAATGCACGATAATGAGGGACAAATTCTCTTTCAATAATTTAAGTTATTCTCATTCCTTCTTTCCATCGTCGTTCAAATCTGTCTTAGGGGTTGACCCGTGCTCTCGAATCTACAATTCTAAATGTACAGCAAAAGTGGATTCTCTCAAGCCCAGCAGTTCTTAAGTAATCGTAATACTGCTGTGAAAAATGTTCCCTTTTATAGATGATCGTACTTGTGATATATATTTACTGTTAATAAGGTAAAAAAAGGTTGACCTTTGGCCAATTATAGATAAGGTATAAATTAAAGCACCACATTATGCGTTTCCTCTTTAAATTTTTATGCAAGAAGAAATTCACGTCACGGAAAAGTCAGGAATCTCCAACAAGCAAGATACTAAGATACAAAATATATAAATAAATGCCATTTTTATTTTTACCATTTAACCTTTATCAATTTATCTTCTGTATTAGAGAATTTACAAACACCCCGTCGTGTGACTTATTCACCTCAACAAATTTTGAAATAAAAAGTGTTGTAATAGAGATCTTCAATTTGCACTTTTTCCAGCGCTAAATTGACCACTTTTTCAATTTTAGAAACTTCCTCGCCTCTTAACGTTTTGCGCACATGACTCAGCCTTCCCTTAATGCAATATGATGAAGTATAAGGCAATGAGGCCGTGGCAAATCGTCTCTTGCAGAGAAACATTTTGAAGGTGTTACGCCGAAAAAAGGACATGTTCGTTTACTGCTCCACAAAACCTCCGATTATATCAGTTCGAAAACTAGAAGTCATTTCGGCCCGAGAGGTGCATCAAGCGTTCATGAATAAAACAATTCGATAGAAATCTTGATTAGTTGGTAATGTCCATCTGCAGAAACAAATTGGTACGCCGACTCAAAAAGGAAGGAATCAATCAGTAGATGATACGAATGTATTCAAATCATAAGGAACTATCGCCACCGGGACATGGGCCGTGTTACGCATTTATTCTAATGGGTCTCAGGGTCCCAATCGTAATACAGATAGTTCCTTTTGATTTAAATACGTCCATACTTTTTAACGGATCCGATGGAGCTCCCCCGGGTTATTAGGTATTCACTGCTATCCCACGCAGCGAAACTGTTTCGTAATTCGAGCGTTGACTCAGGAGTGAGGAACTACCGAATCTTGGCCACTGTTTGATATGCATAGAATTTGGGACCACGAAAAAACAATGAGCGGCTCCGAAATTGA